TGATGATACATGGTAATGATACATGATGATGGTGATGATGATGATGAAGATAATGATGGCGATGATACATGATGATGATACATGATGATGATACATGATGATGACTATGATAATGATGCACTATTAAATGCTTGTAGTAAAGATGCATGATGGTGAGGGTGATATATGGTAATGATACATGGTATGATGATGATGATTTTGACGTTGTTATTAATACACGATGATGATGATCATGACACATAGTGTTGATAAACACAGTGTTTACCTGGCCAAGCTGAAAGCATCATTAATCAAGCTGGACCTGTCTTGAGCAGAAAATACCTGAAACAATAACAATAGACCTCTTTACCTTGGACATACCAACCCCCCCCCCCCCTATTTCAGACCACCTATCATTCCCTAGAGAATAAAATTATTTGTATTTAAAGGTGTATCCATATTCATGCGTCTTCTCGTGCGCAACGATGAAAAAAACAAACAAATGATACTCTAGGGAATGACATTTGGTCAGACGAAGGATAACACGTTAAAAAGCCATATATAAGCTCTACACATATGTGTGACCTTAGGATTCGCCAAGAGCGTGACACAGCATGACAAAGTATTACGTGACTTTACCTCGGGATTGGTATTTAATTGGTTGCTCAACGCCTTCCAGTTGTCTTCATCGTAATGCACTCTGTAGTAACCATGCTGTTTGTAGTTTCCTTTGATCCATTTAGTTCTTGCAGAAACCGCTGTCTCAGCTGAAAAAAAATACGAGAAAATATGTGGATAAAACAACTATTTGTACCGGAAGGGATGTATACGTCTACATAAAAAAATATWAAAAAAATCGTCCTTTTTTCACGAGGGTAGCACTTAATAGCCAGTGGCTAACAAACCTGTGGCCCTCATTCCATGATCGAATTGGAATTTAGGAGTTGATTTTTGCGGAGGGAGGAAAACCGGAGAACCCGGAAAACCCTCGAAGCACAGGAGAGAACCAACAAACAACTTTACTCATATACAACACCGAACCCGGCGGGACTCGAACTCGGGTCGCATTGATGAGAGGCGAGCGCTCACACCGCTACGCCACCCGTGCTTCCCCGAAGTCATACCGGAAGTCATGTTCATCCAGACAAGGGACGAAATATTGGGATGATCTTGCGTGACATAGGTGAATGGTATGTACCACTTGTAGCTATGGACGTAAGAAAAAGACAGACAGACAGTCAGTCAGACAGACAGACAGTACAGCTTGTATGCCAGCGTGACTTACTTATACTGTGACGTGACCGTGACATTTGCATTTGGATCCAACAGGAAGTGCTTCTGTGACAAGCTTACTTTGTTACCATTCCTCTTCACCGTGACCACAGGATATCCCATTTGAAAGGTCCACGTATCCATGATGGCCTTGACATCAGTCTTGCTAACCTGAGTAACGTAATACATAGTGTCACACAACCTTATAGTGTCACGCAAGATACCTCGGGGGATTGAAGGATTTAGGGGTCGGGGGGTCACATGTTCATATATTTTTAGGCCACCGAATCACTGAATTACCGCTCGCCTCTCACCACTGTGGTCCGGGTTCCTGCCCTGGCTCAGACTGGATCATATATGAGTTGAGTTTGTTTGTTGTGTTGTTCTCTCCCTTGCCACGAGGGTTTTCTCAGGGATCTCCAGTATCCTCCCTCCGAGTTGAGTGTTGTATGTTGTAAATATAGAATGTAGTGGTAGTGCGTGTGGAGGGAACCTCACGGAAGAAGCCCCGCATGGGAAGTGGTGGTTGTAAGATATAAGTTAAAAAAAAAAGAAGGTTATCATGACTAATGAAAAAATAAGACTGATTCCAATGCTGGAAAAGACACTTTATCTTAACTCTCTCCATTTGGCAAAAACGTTATGTTAGACGACACTAAACAAGCTTTGCATACTTTTCCCAGGGCATTCCAAAGATCTTTGGTTTCTGCATTTTTAAAGGCGTAAGTTTGAAGATAGTACTGAGGAAGAGAAAAACATTGATGAGTGTTTTATGGTGGAAATATCATGGAAAAAAGAATAATGGGTTAATGAGCACCTCCAACGTACCTGAAGACCTTTTTTGAAGTCATCATCTCCAAGGAAATTAGCCAACATTCTTATTATTGACGAACCCTATCGACAGAAAAAAACATGTTACGAGTGGTAGCTACGAAAGTTTGACGAGTAGCTACAAACGGTTGAAGAGTAGCTACGAGCGGTTTGCGAGTGATTACGAATGGTTGACGAGTAACTACGAGCGGTGTGCTAGTGACTACTAATTGAATGGTTGACGAGTGGCTACGAAATGAGTATGACTGTTCTTTTGGATGGCGTACAAAGTGCACTTCAAAATGGGAATTA